GAAATTTTGGGAAGGATTGCAGAAGGCTTTGGGTACTAAGTTGAGATTGAGTTCAGCTTACCATCCTCAGACTGATGGACAGACGGAGAGGACGATTCAATCGTTGGAAGATTTATTGCGTGCTTGTGTTTTAGAGAAAGGTGGAACTTGGGATAGCTATTTGCCATTGATTGAGTTTACTTATAACAATAGTTACCATTCGAGTATTGGTATGGCTCCGTTTGAGGCATTGTATGGTAGACGGTGTAGGACGCCTTTGTGTTGGTATGAATCTGGAGAGAGTTCGGTAATTGGGCCAGAGATTGTTCAGCAGACTACAGAAAAGATCAAATTGATTCAAGAGAAGATGAGAGCTTCTCAGAGTCGTCAGAAAAGTTATCATGATAAGAGGAGAAAGAATTTAGAATTCAGTGCTGGAGATCATGTGTTTATGAGAGTTACTCCGATGACGGGTATTGGTCGGGCGTTGAAGTCTAAGAAGTTGACTCCGCGTTTTATTGGTCCGTTTCAGATTACGGAAAGAGTTGGAGAAGTTGCTTATCGCATTGCTTTACCTCCGAGACTTGCGAATTTGCACGATGTTTTTCATGTTTCTCAGTTGAGGAGATATATTCCAGACCCATCTCATGTAATCCAAATAGATGATGTACAGGTAAGAGATAACCTGACAGTAGAAACATTGCCTATGAGGATAGAAGATCGGGAAGTGAAACAGTTAAGAGGTAAAGAGATAGCATTAGTGAAGGTTGCTTGGGGAGGTCCAGCAGATGGAAATATCACTTGGGAGCTGGAGAGCCAGATGAAAGAGGCTTATCCGGAGCTGTTCGTCTAAGGTATGTTTTCGAGGACGAAAACTCTTTTAGTGGGGGAGAGTTGTAACACCCCGTTTTCAATTAATTGAATTATTTAAATTTGGGAATTTATTTTATTAGAATTAATAAAATAAAAAGAATTATTTATTTGGAATATTCGAAGAAATAAGAAATATAGGGATTTTTATGTTTTGGGCTTAGATGCTGTTAGTAAAGAGTGGGGGTGAAAAAGAAGTAAAGTTATGTGTTGGAACTCAAGTTATTCCTCATTTTGGTTTTCACGATAAACAGAAGTTAGAATTGGGGAAATAGAGCTCTGAAGGTACGAGGAACGAAGAACGGAGAACTTCGCTCAAGAATTCAAAGCTGCTAATTGATAAGGTAAGGGGGGTTTATACTCGATTTACCTTTGTTTATGGGTTTATGTACGGTTGATTCGGGTAATGGTAGGAAAATCCCAATTGTTAGATGTTTCTAGGGATCGATAACCGTAGGACTGAACTTTGTTAGAAAAGGATTAGGATTCCCAATTCTCATGAATCGATTAAGAATTTAGGTCCCAAATGGTGAATTGGGCGTATGTCTAATGATCGTGAATTTACCTTGGAAATTGTAGGGACGACCTCAGTGTCGGTAGAATTCCCCAAAGTTACGGTTAATCCCCGGTTAAGGTTATTATAATGATTATTAGTAAATTGGATATTGTGGTATTGTTGTGGATCGTACAAGCTCGATGCGTTAGGTACTGAAATACGCGTTTTGGCCGACATTTTTCCGCGTTTGGACGGCTGTTGTGAGCCACTGCAGGTTCAGAAAAATCTGACCCGCGCTCATCAACACGACCGTGTTGTTTAACACGGGCACCCGTGTTGATGCACTGTGTTGCCAAAAATTGTGTTTTCCAGACACAATTCAACACGGGCCGTGTTGTTTAACACGGGCACCCGTGTTGATCCCCTGTTTTGTTAAAAAAATGCGTTTTCTGGGCATATTTCAACACGGCCGTGTTGTTTAACACGGGCACCCGTGTTGATGCTACTGTGTTGAATTTCTGAATTTTCTGAATTTTGATTTCAGTGTTTCGATGTTGGATTTTTATTGCCATGCTTTTAGATATGTTCTCGAGCATGAGTTATGATATAATTGATGTGATTGGTTGATGTTTGAATAGTATGCTGAGTGATTACATGCTATTTGTAACTTGATATGATTGATGTTTAAATAGTATGCTGAGTGGTTACATACTATTCATATCCTGTTATGTTTGATATTGTTGATGTGCATGATATGTTGAATGATGTTCATAGTATGCTGAGTGTTACATACTTACATATCATGTTGCATTTGTTAATTCCCATTGTGTGGAATTAACATGGTGGCCAATATACGTGTCCGCGATTTAATGGAACGTTGAGGTGGTAGCCGTGTCCGCGATATAATGGAACGGTGAGTTATCCGTGACCCGCGATATAATGGGGCGGTGTAGTGGTACCACATGCATGGGTGTGTTGCATTACTCGAATATAACATGAATGGATGATTTTTCCAATGTTATATTTGATTGTTTGTATGCACGTGTGATTGATATATGGTTGATGATGTTGATGGGTATTTGTAAATATGAACAGCAATATGTCATGGATATATGATTTGTAAAGGTTTTGTAAACTATGAAATATGTTAATTATTGGGTGATGCTTATGATTTCGTGAATTGATTGTTATGAATGTATAACCAAATGTATATTTGAGAAGCTCACCCTTACTGTTGAATATTTCAGATTGAGGAGCTTCGCTCAGGTGCTTGGCGAAGGCTTATCGTGTCTAGTTTAGTTTTATTCTAGTATGTCCGGGTCATGCTCTGATAGTTGTAACTCCGGGAACGTTTGGTTGTCGAGCTGCTTTAGTCAGACTCGTTTATTTTCTTTTAATTGTTATAATAAGATGTTGACTTTCCAGGTGTTAATCCCTGATGATTTTGGAAAATATTATAACGTTTGATTTTATTAATTAAAATTTTCCGCTGTGTAAACGTGTATGAGTTACCACTAAGATTATGCATGACAGGAATTATTTTATTAAAAGAGAATTGTAGCATTCCTCGATTATTACATGTACTCTGAGTTATAATTTTTAATATTTGCGAAAATTATATGCGGGTTTTAGAGGGTGTTACATCTCGCGCTTGATATGACTATTTGAGAAAAAATTTACTTGAAAATAATTTTCAAAAAGGAAATGTTGCTACAACTCTTTTTATCAAAAAAATCTGAGCATTAAATTCTAGTTGTTCAAATTTAGGTTAATAATATTATATTTAATACTACTAACAAATATATATATATATATATATATATATATATATATATGTAAGTATAACATTCTAATACGGTGCAAGATGAGTTCAAAATGTCAACGATGAGTGAACTTCGATACTTCTTTAGATTATAAAAACATCAAACAAAAAGAAGACATTTTCATAAATCAAGCTAAATGTTTTTAAAAAAAAAACTCTTTAAAAGATTTTAAATGGATAATCCAAAAGAAATATCAACTCTCATAAACACATCACATCATGTTGCTTAAACAAAGATAGGGATAAATCAGTAGAAGAAAAAAATGTATCGGTGTATGATTATTTTCATTCTCTATCTTACTATTTCTCATTCAAATATTATATTTGTTGTTTGTACGTGTCTATACTTTCAAACAAATCTCAAAGACTTACATCTCACTTAAGTTAGCACAAAACTAATGAATATGATACGTCAAAAGAACGAATTATACTTTATTGAATACTTTAATTTTGATTTTTTCTCTCTTTCTAAATTAGATAAAAAATATTAGTAGTACATGGTACATTCACTTCACGTATTCTACAATTATTTGCATTTTATAAATTCACATAAAAATCAAATGACACATCTCACATTGAAATTTTGAATGCTCTAAATATTCAATCATAGGCATAAAGACATGATATCAATGTTCTATGTTGAATTGTTTGGCTATAAAATTAAGTTTGTTCTATAAGATTTAGACAAATCTTATCTTTTAAGTTATCTTTTGAGATCATACCATTGTGGAACAATATAAATATTTATATCAACCTTTATTTACAGAATAAATATACAATTAATAAACTCATAGTGGCTCTAGAAGAAAGATAATAAACTAATAAACCAGTGGACTAACATACGGTAGTTGCTTCAATTTGGTGGCACCATAGAAGTAAAAGAGGAGATATAAAAAAGAGCTTGGCACCATTATAATTTGATTGGTTTCAATTCAATAAAAATTTATGAACCTGTCCAAGACAAAATTTAGCACAAGTAGAAATTTGATCCTAAAATCTTGAAAAAATACGATAAAACAAGTATGATAGATTAAATATGTTTGTTTTATCTATATTTTTCACCATTATTTTAAGTCTATACTATCTAACATGTTCATCTCATCTAATTTATTTTGTAAAATATATCTAAACGGAATAGACATATCTATATATCTATTTATTTATTATAAGTAGTTTCTGGTATGAAACTTTCACCAACAGATAAATTATAAAGATTACAATTTGTGCTTAATGTTAATGTTAATGGAAAATAATTGTAAATAAATGATGACATGTATTTTTGATGGTCATGGTTGAGAAATTCCACTCTTCCACTACTGGCCGCCCAAAAGTAAACGCTCGTATTTTCATTTTATTAATAATTTAATAGCAAAGGAAGGAACCACTCATTGCTTGTTTTTATAATCAATTTGTTTTTGTCTCCACTTGTCAACTCCATCCAATTTAAATAATCCAATTGCACATTTAGTCTAACCAATGTTTTTAAAATATACAATAAATCAAGAATGAGCTTGTGAAACCTATGGGTCATGCCACAATTGGTTTAGTCAATCAAATAATAATTGAAATTAATATTTAAAGTTAAAAATGTATTATGTCAATTGCTGTTAAATATTTTCTTCCATTATTACTGAATGAAAAAGTTAAAAATAAAAGAAAAACGTCACCCCCACTTCTTCTCTACCCTTATTTTTTCATGGTCAATGGATGGTCATGGTCTCACCCCATGCCACCTCCAAAAATCTTCTCCTTCATTGGTTCATCTCACCCTTATGTTCCCTTCATCTTCCTCCTTCATCTTCCACACACTCCAAACACCCAAACTTTCCCTTCATGAGATCACAACCACCCTCTAAGTCTAACCCTTCCAGCACTTACATAGTTTTCTCCAAACTAATGGTCTCAATCATAACAACAACCTTATTTCTAACCTTGTTCCTTGTTCATGTCTCTTCCTCTTGTAACCAATTTGACAAAGATTCACTCTTGTCTTTCTCTTCAAATATCTCAACTTTATCACCTCACCCACCTCTTAACTGGTCTTTTACCTCTGATTGTTGTGATTGGGAAGGTGTAACTTGTGATCAAAATAATCAACATGTTACTCATCTTTTGTTACCCTCTAGAGGTCTCAATGGTTTCATTTCACTTTCTACTTTCACTTCTCTTCAATCTCTTTCTCATCTTAATCTCTCTCATAATAAACTTCATGGTAATCTTCAAAGTCTGTTTTTTTCAATTCTTAACCATCTTTTACTTCTTGATTTGAGTTACAATCGTTTCTCTGGTGAATTGCCACTTTGGAATGGAACCAGAAATAGCAGTGTTGTTGTTCAGGTGTTTGATTTGTCTAGTAATTCATTCAATGGAACATTGCCTGTTTCTCTGATTCGGAATCTTGCTGAAGGAGGTAATTTGATATCTTTCAATGTTAGTAACAACAGTTTCACAGGTCATATTCCAGTTTCAAACTTTTGTGTTGGTGTAGATAAGAGTTCTTCTTTGAGATTCTTGGATTTTTCTTCCAATGATTTTGACGGTGCTATTCAGACTGGTTTAGGTGCATGTTCTAAGCTTGTGAGATTTAGAGCAGGTTTCAATCTACTATCAGGGAATATCCCAATTGATGTTTATGATGTTGTTTCACTCATTGAAATATCATTGCCATTGAATAAAATTGATGGAACAATTGGTGATGGAATTGTTAATCTTGCAAATCTCACAGTTTTGGAGCTTTACTCCAATCAGTTGACAGGTTCTATTCCTAAGGATATTGGTAAGCTTTTGAAATTGGAAAAATTGCTTCTTCATGTCAACAATTTGACTGGTACGATTCCGCCGTCTTTGATGAATTGTAACAATCTCGTTGTGTTGAATTTGAGGGTTAATAGATTGGAAGGAAATCTATCGGCATTCAATTTCTCCGGATTGGTCAGGCTTGCTACGCTTGATCTTGGTAACAATAGGTTTACTGGTGTGTTACCGCCGACTCTTTATGATTGTAAGTCGCTTGCTGCATTGAGGCTTGCGTCTAATCAGATTGAGGGACAGGTTTCGTTTGAGATACTTGGACTCGAGTCTCTCTCGTTCTTGTCGATTTCTGATAACAAGCTGAAGAATATCACTGGTGCTCTTAGAATACTCACTGGTCTCAAGAAGCTTAGTACCCTTATGCTCTCCAAGAATTTTTACTATGAAGTGATGCCGAACATGATAGAACCTGATGGATTCCGAAATATCCAAGTTTTAGGATTAGGTGGCTGTAATTTCACAGGTCAAATACCGAGTTGGATTAAAAACCTGATGAAACTCGAGGCCTTGGATCTTTCGTTTAATCAATTCAATGGTTCGATACCTCCTTGGTTAGGTAAACTACCTCAGCTTTTCTACATAGACTTGTCTTTTAACCTACTTACTGGCCTGTTTCCGATAGAGCTCACGAAACTCCCGGCACTTACATCACAACAAGCAAATGATGAAGTAGAAAGGACTTACTTGGAGTTACCTGTCTTTGCTAATGCAAACAATGTTTCTTTGTTGCAATACAATCAACTTTCAAGCCTACCACCGGCAATATATCTTGGAAACAATCGCCTTAGTGGCAGTATCCCCGTCGAGGTTGGTCAACTGAAAGTCCTTCTTCAGCTGGACCTGAAGAAAAACAACTTCTCTGGCAATATACCGGATCAAATTTCAAACTTGATTAACTTAGAGAAACTAGACCTCTCAGAAAACGAACTATCCGGCGAAATTCCTGATTCCCTCAATAAATTGCATTTCTTGTCTTTTTTCAGTGTAGCACACAATAATCTGCAAGGACGGATACCAACGGGTAGTCAGTTTGATACTTTTTCCAACACCAGCTTTGAAGGAAACTCTCAATTGTGCGGTCTCGTTATTCAACGCCCTTGTTCTCCTCAACGAAATACTACCAGTACTTCAGCTAGAGCCAAATCCAAGAAAATAATAGTCATACTTATTATCGTAGTGTGTTTCGGCATAGCTACCTTGATTACGTTGTTGACACTGTGGATACTCTCTAAGAGGAGGGTCAATCCAAGAGGAGATTCTGATAAGATTGAGCTTGAATCGATTTCTCAGTACTCGAACAGCGGTGTTCATCCTGAGGTTGATAGGGAGGCTAGCCTAGTGGTATTGTTCCCCAGCAAAAACAATGAAACAAAGGATCTTTCAATATTAGAAATCATAAAAGCCACTGAAAATTTCAGTCAAGCAAATATAGTAGGATGTGGCGGTTTCGGTTTGGTTTATAAAGCGTCGTTTCAAAATGGAACTCAGCTAGCCATCAAGAAACTTTCAGGAGATTTAGGCCTTATGGAAAGGGAATTTAAAGCTGAGGTAGAAGCTTTGTCAAACGCACAACATGAGAATCTGGTAGCATTGCAAGGCTACTGCGTGCACGATGGTTATCGACTACTCATATATAATTACATGGAGAACGGAAGTCTCGATTACTGGTTGCATGAAAAGTCTGATGGTGCGTCTCAACTCGATTGGCCGACTCGTCTGAAGATTGCACAAGGAGCAGGTTGTGGTTTGGCCTATTTGCATATGATATGCGAACCGCACATCGTGCACCGCGATATAAAGTCGAGCAATATACTCCTAAATGAGAAGTTTGAGGCACATGTTGCTGATTTCGGGTTGTCGCGGTTGATTCTTCCGTATCATACTCATGTTACAACTGAACTTGTAGGTACATTAGGTTATATTCCTCCAGAGTATGGACAGGCATGGGTGGCTACTCTGAGAGGAGATGTGTACAGCTTTGGAGTTGTTTTGCTCGAGCTTCTCACCGGAAGGAGGCCTATGGATGTATGTAAGCCGAAAATTTCGAGGGAGTTGGTTAGCTGGGTTCAACAAATGAAAAACGAAGGAAAACAAGAACAAGTATTTGACTCGACTCTACGAGGGAAAGGATTTGAAGGCGAGATGCTGCAGGTACTCGATGTAGCATGCTTGTGTGTGAACATGAATCCTTTCAAGAGACCAAGCATCAGAGAAGTTGTCGAATGGCTAAAAAATGTCCGAAGAAATAATGACTAGAGACGAACATTTCACATATGTTCTTCGACAAAATTGTGACAGTAGATATGTATACTTGTGCAAATTTTACTTTTTTTTTTTTTGCTTTTCTATAAATACAGATTGTCATTTGTTACCAACTCGACCTGTGAGAATATTATCGCCATAAAGATTTTTGTGAATTGTACTAAGTGATCATCCATTTTCAACTGCAGAACTTGTGTATTATAGTGTCATTAGTTATGCAGAAACTATTCCTTCACATTTTAACAGCTTTTATTGATTATATCTGATTAAGAATACAGAATCATAGGCAATACAAGCCTTTGTTAGACCAATTCTTGTTGTCGTACTTTCAATCAGATGTGTCGGTGCTAAAGAAATTGTTTCCCTTATAATGTAAAAGAGAATAATTTGTGACTAAGTTACTAAATTTTGTTCATCCTAATGAGGAAATACACATTACATTCATCCTATGATTACTATGAACATCGTGGTTTGGTGATATGTGATTCAACAAAAATTGACATTTAAGAATTTGCATAGTGAATGTAACATGCTTTCCATATCAGAATGTTGACAGTTGTCTATTGAACATGCATCTTGTTAATTTGAAGTATTATTATGCATAAGAAAAAATGTTAGGCCAAAACACAAAATCTGAAAGTGTGTCTGATGTCTGATACTATAGATGATACTATAGATTAAAGGTATGTCTGATGTTTGCCACTGATGTATATGATTAAATTCAATCACTATTTCACCTCAAATACTACCTCATTGACCTGGTGTGTCTGATGTCTAACTCTGATGCATGCGATTAAATTCAATCACTATTTTCCACAAATTATGACCTCATCGACCGGTAAGCGTATGTAGTGTCTGATATGGAAATAGTTGAGAGGGATGTTGGAAGTTTATTGGAGATGTGGCATGATAGCATAGATGTAACTTGTTAATGATTACTTAATTGACTCTTCAAATCCATCTTTTTGGTTGCATTGGTTAGAAACAAGAAAATAAGGAAATCATTCCTAACCATTCAAATGTGAGGTTCAGTTTTGAGTGGTGGGACAGCAAAGAAAACATAATGGCTATGCATGATTAACCATTTTTCACCAGACAAAGAATGAAATGGAAAAAATATAAATATAACATTATGCCACTCAAAGTGCATGAAATCATATCATGTTAGAATTTGTTGCTTTCAAATATGAATAGAAATTGCTGGTAAGCTTCCCCGGGGTAGTACGGATAGATGACATTAAGATTTGGTATCATTACATGCTAATACTATAATGGTTTCTAACACAGATACTCAATTAGTCACAATGAAACACACACCAACTATATTTTTTGGTGGTGGTGGGTCTTCACAAATTAGATTTTATAAAATTGAGTTAATTTGAAAAAACTATTAGAAAAGATAAAGATAGAACCAATTAATTAAAGATACAAAGGAAGGCAGGCAAAGGAGCTGTATCTGAAACAAAGTTTCTGAAAGAATTAATGGAGTGCTAAAATCACAGCACTGAGGGATGAGTTGGTTTGGGTGGAGGACATAGAGACATTGAAGTGATAAAGAGGTCATGAATTCAAATCTCTCCACTAACATAACACACTAACTAGTACTCCTTTCGTCTCTAATCTTTGATCCTTTTAACAATGAGCACACATGTTATGATATAGTAAATTTAGATGAGTTCCACACACACTCTTCCATCCAAATTGGTTTTTCATCTAATTTTTTTCGAGCTTCTTGCATTAATTGAATCATTTTGCTAGAACATTGATTCATAACAAATTCTCTTATGAATTTATCCATTTTTTATGTTTGTGTTTGAATTGATGAAATTTGATACAACAAAATGAAATGGAGTTAAATTAAATTCTTTTACTTGAATTTGAAAATAATAGATGGAGTCAAGGTGTTTAAAATTGGTCTGGAAATTAAACTAGTGTGGATAAGAATTTAAGTTTTAAAATTTAATCGGGGTCAAATTGAAATTTGATCGATTATGATAATATATGTAATAGTTTTTATAATTTATAAATAATATATAAAATTTTGCAAAGTATAATATACAAAATAATTCTAAAAAATAAAAGAAAAATATTTTATAACATAAAATTATTTTTAACTGTCAGATTTAATTTGTGTCAAAAAGAAAATGAGATTTGTTTTAAATATAACTAGTAAAGAATTTGTGCGCTCGCATGAGTCGCGAAAATTGGATATAAATATGATCTTACCGGATCAGAAATGGACTGTCACAGCTGACTCGGGCAGAAGTTGAATGAGATGAGAGGGATACCTGCAAGACACTCTGATGGCAAAGTAAGTTGCGGAATGAGCAAACAAGTATGAGTTTAGAGATATGAATTGAATACCTGACCCTCTTGAGAGAGGGTATTTATAGCCCCCATCGCTGGACCAAGGTTTCCCACTCTTGGACCACGTTGAGGCCCAATAATAGGAACTGCCAGGGCTTACGTGTGTATGGAGTCCAACAAGTGGGCTCCCCCCTGGTCAACTGCTCCGCGAGAATAGGGTTGAACCCGTGATTTTCGGAGGACAATTTAAGATGGTTGTCGTGGGCACATGGGCCACGTCCTCCAACGGTCGAATGGGGAGTTTCCCAATGGTCCCTAACTTGGGTTGTCTTTGGGTTTCCCGTTCGAAGGGCAAGTGTAGGCCTAATCCAAATCAGGAGCCCCCCAAGTTATTGCCCTTGAGCAAGAGGGCGGTGACTTGAGTTCAGCTCTCGATACCAGAGACTTGATCGAGGTAGACGGACAAAGTCCCCCGATCGAAGTGAGTTGTTGCCCGCGAGGGGGTCAAGCTCGAGTACGTCGGGGGAGATCATGGATGAGCGGGCAGCGAGACCGAAGGGGTCAACCGCTTGCTCGAGAGGACGTATTAGTGACGGGAAGCCTCTGCGAGATTCCCTTTGACACGTCCATCTCGAGGGAGTTGTTGGTTTGTCGAGCATTACTTCGTCCCCGAGGTGGTCGAATGGGTGTACCCCTACGTACACTCTAATGTTGAGCATGTCCTCGTGTGGGTATATGCCTCGTGCGTATCTGGGGACGACGCGTAAGAGTCGGGTGTATGCTCGTCAGTCCAAAGGGGACTCGTGGTTGATAGTTGAGCCACATGGCTAATGTTTTGGGGTGCCACCCCTTGAAGGAAAAAGCAAAAAGGGCCAATGAAATGATGACCTTTCGTGGGGGATCCCTTGGGGCGTGGGTCGCCTATAAAAAGGGGGCCCTGGGTCTCATTTGTCATCTTCTCAAGTTTTCTCTCAACCTTTTCTTGCTCGTGGTGTGAAGCGATTCTCTCAACTTCTCAGATTTCCTTGCTCGTTGTGCAAAGCAATCCTCTCAACTTCTCAGATTCTCTCTTCAAGTTATTCATCCAAGTAAGTTATAACCTCTTAACACCATATTTCTTGAGCGTTTCTGGATTAAATGTCAAAATTATTCCTTGATTGGATGAACATTTATGAGTTTTATGATGAATACTCATGAATGTTCATTGGAGTTCATGAACTCTGTCGAGCATTCATGAATGTGCCAGACACTATGAACGTTCATTAGCTATAGTATCGGGGGCCTCCCCGAACAATGTCTGTAACAAGGGGTGGTTTCATCGGATATAGGAAGTATCTCGGGCTTTTTGCTCGATGAGTGATCCCCCCGACAGCATGTCCTCGTAATGTAATGGTCCGCTTTAGCGTGTCGAGGGCTTGGGTCGAGTTCGTCGCCCTTTCACTTGATTTGCGGTGGAAGGGTGGATTTGATAATGTCGAATTCACTAATTTCCCCTATTTTTCAGGTATAATGGTGCGCTCAGTCGGGGATGATATTTCGGCCGCCCATCACGAAGACGAGCCCCATACTGACGAGGACCCTTTGGCTTGGGTCGCTCCTGAGCCTCGGGATAAACGATCGTGCTTTTCCCAAGACGCGACGGATGCGTTTAATTTCCCTGAGGAACGCGCAGAAGGGCCCCCGCCAATTGGATGCTCCAAATCCCCCATCGAGACCGAAGGATATGCTCGATGTATCCGGGAAAACGGTTCCCCATGTATGAATTTGCTTTCAAAGAGGCGGGGATGCGCCTGCCCTTTAATGATTTCCAGGTCGGGGTTTTCCAGTGGCTTCAGTTGGCGCCTTCCAAACTCCATCCGAACGCGTTGGTGTTTATGCGGGCGTTTAAGCTCGTTTGCCAGTACCTGAGTATAGGAGCCACGCTGCCCCTTTTTTTCCTCATCTTTCACCTCTAAAGACAATCTGTCAGAGGGGGGAAGGCGTGGGTATCCTTTAAGCAGTTCGGGAAACACTTCCGGCCTTACCTGGAGTCCGTCCGAAATTTTAAAGAGAGGTACTTCTTCGTGAAACCCCTGACGGACGCGGCTATAGATTCTCTTTATACCCGTGTGGAAGAGGTGGAGGACGGGCGGCCATTTACCCGACTTATGGCTAGATTCCCGCTCGAATGGTAGTGGAAGCATTATGAACAAAGGCACGAATACTATACAGTGAAACCCGGGGACTTGGACGCCTAAGACCAGCTTTCGTACGAGAAGATGTCGGCATATGTTAAGAGTTTCTCCCCCGCGAAGTGCGTGGATATGAACAACAACCTGTTGTTCAATGATGAGGGGAAGTATCTCTTAGTCAATAGGTTGATCAACATGAAGGCCTTGCACGAGTGCTCCTTAAATGGGGAAGCCATGGGGCTTTTGGGTAAGGGGCATAGCCTAGTTAATTTGCTCCTCTTTATGCGGGGACGTGCTCGCGCTATTTTTGTTTTTTCTAACTCGACTAACGATTCTTTTTTATTGCAGGTCAAATGGCATCCCTTTCTGAGCGCCTGTTGAAGCTGAGGCCCAAGAACGCATCCACTTCTGGGCCACGAAACAGAGTCACCCAGCTTCAGGAACAGGCCAAGTCTATCGCTCGGGCCAGTGGTTTCCCTTGCTCATCAAAAAATCATGCTTCCTCTATTGAACTGG